CAGTGTTTCTTGTTTGTGTTCTCAAGTGTGAAAAGTCTGCTGACCTCCCAATGAACCAAAGATTATAATCTCCGGTCACATTCTCCCTCCTGTAGCACCAGTGGCCATGGATACTGTGGCCTTTGTTGGTTGGAGGTTTTCAAAGACTTCAAAGAGGCTCCTGTGAAAAACTTTGGCTTTGCATCTGACCACTTGACCCCTAGACTTGCTTTAATAGGAGATGAACTGGGGTTTAGATTGGCAACAATCAGTCAGATAATTAAAAAGAAGACACATAAGAACATTGAACCTTTGTGGAAAGAGAACTGATAGTGGTAGCACTACATTCAATTGTAGTATTGCTTTGGGAGGTGCAGGGTTGAAGGAGTTTTTCAATGATATTTCTCAAAAAGGCCACAGCAGTGGACAAATAACTACCAGAGTCAAATGTCACCAGGGCCAGAGGCACAGTGGTGAGCTCGCGTATCCTTCCCCTTCACCGACCCCATCGTCCACTGGGTGCAATTAAGAGACACAGTTTTGAGCGGATAAAAATACTTTGTCTGGCAAAGTCTGAAAGAGCTGTGAAATATCTTATCAGGGCTCATTATAGGAGAAAACACATTCTCTTTCTTCATTGTTAGAGTAAACATCCTGTGCAGATGCATTGATTCACACCGGCCACAAGTTAATGCTTGAATTTGAGGACAAAGGTTATGTCATTAAACATTATTAGCACATTCTACAGACAAACAGCAGCATGTGGGGGTCATGTGTGGTGCAAAAATACAGGAGCGGAATAACAGACACAATCTAAATACAAACACCATGACTACCATGACCTCTGTATGTGTAACCTGTGTGGGGTGTAACTCAGGTACAAGTAATTCATCTCTGCAATCAGATTACTTTTTTGAGTAATGTAATGAGTGTAATGCATTACTTTGAACATGGATGTCGTTACATTTATTATTATTTTTAAATGCAGCAACAGCTTATTTTTGGCTTCTCTAAGCACCATGTTGTGAGGTATAGTGGTTCCTTTGGCATCCCTCTGTGCTTCCCAGTTAGCTCTGCTTTGAAAACATCACTAATATAGTATTCTGTCTGCCTGCAATGGTTGCTCTGAATATGTTGAATAACTCTAAATAGTAGCTCTCTTTTTTCCCTTGTTTGAACATTATGTTGCTACTATTCTATATAAGTTACTATTCTGTTACTACAGTATATCAATCTACTATAAGTGATAACATTCATCTAATGAGTCTATTGTACTGTACCGGGACCACATGACCGGGACACCAGCCCACTCTAAGCTGCAGAAAGTCCGCTGCTGTTCATGTGATGAGGAATTCACATCAGGTTCAGACACCACATTGTACTCTGGGGTTTAGAGCCAAAGTCATTCATAAAACACAACATATAGTGTCTTTCAGAGATGTGAAGAGAAACCGCTCTCCAGGCACTTTGTGGGAGATTAGCATGAATCACTTTAAACAGGTCACTATGGGAAGTTTCTCATAAAACTCATTCATCTTTTCAGTTCAGAACTGCAGAACTACTTTGAGCCCCATAGAGATGTTATTGCATTACCTGAAATGTATATGTGGTTTGAAGTAGATCTGTCACAAAATCCACTTGTTATTGATGGATGGGACACTCTTTTTGGGCCTCAATTTTTAAAGTTTGAGATTTTATTTCTAAAATTGGCAAGAATGTTTAGAATTGTTATTATATTACATTTGCGGTTAGTTGTTTTTAGCCGTTTATAAAGTTTCCAATACTGAGGTAGTAAAGTAAAGTAAAGTTTTTCTTTTGTATTATACAGAGAGTAACAATAAAGTAATAATAATAATAATAATGATAATAATGCACTGGTTTTGTACAGTGCTTTTTAGGACATTCAAAGATGCATCACATGTCATTCATGCCATACACAGTGGTGATAAGCAACTACTAGCTGTAACCAGCGACAGTAGCTCAGTTGGTAGAGCATTGGCCTTCAGGCCTGAAGGTCGTGGGTTCATTTCCCACCTCTACACCTTCTCCACCAACTCCCGATGATGACTGCTGTCGTTGTGTCCTTGGGCAAGACACTTAACCCCACTTTGCCCAAAGCCCCCACTGAAAGATCAAGGCTATGCTCATACTCAGAGAGCAGCCGTCCTCCTGTGGACTCACCACCTGCAGAGGGTCAGTGAGGGGCTGGTGCTATGAGACTTGGGTGGCATCTCTGACTGCCACCCCCCTGACCCAGAAATGGATTAAAGGGTAGAAAATGGATGGATGGATGGATAGCTGTAACCACAGCTGCCCTGGGGCACACTGACAGAAGTGAGACAACCAGTATGTGCCATTGGCCAGTGGCGGTCTGTGCATTTCAGACTTGCGCCTGCAGTAATGTCTTAACCCAGATCTCCAACTTTTTTGGTGGCACAGAGTCAGACCCCCCCTACAGAAGTGTGCCTCCTGTGTTAAAATGGGCGGCACAGTGGCTGAGTGGATAGCACTCTCGCTTCTCAGCAAGAAGGTCCTGAGTTCGAATCCCAGTTGGAACAGGGTCTTTCTGAGTGGAGTTTGCATGTTCTCCTCGTGCCTGTGTAGGTTTCCTCCGGGTACTCCGGTTTCCCTTACCACTAAAAACATGTACAGTTGGTCTGGCATGCGCCTCCTGTACTGGCGACCCTGCTCCCATCTCTGTGTGGAGTGAGAAGACAAATGCCCAAAAATAACGATTGTAAACCGCTTCGTGACTCTGGTCTGTGAAACGCGGTATATAAATAAAGACTTACTAAACTGACAGGAGGCACATTTCTGTAGTTTGTATAAACACGCATGACACACTCGTGCACAATGCGGAACTTTCTTCTCTGACAGTATCTGAGAACATGATTGAGTTTTGAGCATTAACGTGGGAAAGTCCAACCACAATATAAGTATTGAATGGAGTTTTAATGTTGTTTTCTTACTGGTGGTGAGGCAGTCCATGTGCAGGACGCGGCTCTGTGTCTTCTGCATTAGCCTAGCTCTGCAGGTTAGCTTATTGACAAAGTGTTTTTCCCATCGACTTTCAGCCTCAGCTCTGCCGCAGCTGTGTATGCTCTGGTCAGGACAAATTCCTGGCTCTTCTTGTCCCTCTGTCCCTGTTTTTCTTGAGAAAGGCGTTCTAACTATTTAGATACCAGAACAATATATTCACCTCCTTCAGCCGTAGAAGGTTGAAAAACTAAAACAAGTTGGTTGAAAAACTAAAACAAGTTGTCACACATATTAGCATTTTTGTTTGTTTCTGTTTATCACATGTCTCTAGCACCTATAACTGACGTCTTGAGTATCCAATCATTAGACACGCTTCCTCAGAGCCTTCTAGCTGGCCCGGAGGAAGCAGACTTGACACTGATTGGTTAATGCCACAGGTCCGTTTTCAGTGACTTTAAGCAACTGTGGGCCAGCAATGTAGACTCTGAGGGCCTAGAGGCAGATTTTGGGCCATAGCAACACATGATGCTAAGTAATGATTGGATAAAAACTCTATTGGACGCCAGACCTCCCAGATGTTGACCTGAAGTTGGAAGCTGTGCAACCAACCTAGGTGCCCCACTGTGGCACCTGGTGTTCCCAGAGGTCTCCCATCACAGTACTGACCAGGTCCTGCCCTGCTTAGCTTCAGGTCTGATAGGATCTGGTTAACATAAGTTACACAAATGACATAAACATTCACAATTTAATTTCTAAAAAGTGGTATTTGTGTTACTGTAGACAAATATTTTATTTTATAATTACGTCCGAAATTCAACAATACAGACTCTAACAGTTACTCAGCTCCACCATCCCCCTCCTCTACATGTCTACCTCCCTTCTCTCTGTCTAAACCACCACCCATAACTTCCCTTTGAGTTGCCCACACATTGGACAGAGCAGGCCAGAGATGTCTCAAATCAAAAAGATCCATCATGTTTTCCACTTGCAATGTGTCTATCTACCATGTCTTTGTGAAATATGTATCAGCTTTCTGCTTTTCTTACTCATAAAGGAGTGAGCAAAAGATGTCCGCTGCATGTCTCAATGTTTCTTCATCAAACTTGTTTGATGAAGAAACTTCATCAAACTTCATCAAACTTGGGCGGCACGGTGGCTGAGTGGATAGCACTCTCGCCTCTCAGCAAGAAGGTCCTGGGTTCGAATCCCGGCCGGACCAGGGCCTTTCTGAGTGGAGTTTGCATGTTCTCCCCGTGTCTGCGTAGGTTTCCTCCGGGTACTCCGGTTTCCCCTACCACTAAAAACATGCACAATAGGTCTGGCATGCGCCTCCTGTACTGGCGACCCCGCTCCCATCTCTGTGTGGAGTGAGTGGACCAATGCCCAAAAATAATAACAATTGTAAACCGCTTTGTGACTCTGGTCTGTGAAAGGCGGTATATAAATAAAGATTACTTACTTACTTACTTACTTACTTGTTATTTGTGGGGCCGATAAATGTATAATAATAATTATTCCATTGAATTCTGAATTGCTGTGCCCCTTGTGTGGCCTCCGAGGCCATGAAGTAGTTCTGTATTGTAATCAACTATGGTTGCTTTTATCATTTTGGTTGTTGAAATGTATCCAAACAATTACATTCTGATGTTAGTAAGAAAAGTAATGTTCCGTCCTCCTAACCTAAAAAACTTGAAACCTGTTTATGCAATGCTGTATGATATTCTAAACAACACCTTTTGCAATTCAAATGCAAAGAAGCAGTGAGGCAAACTAGTGAACCACATGCAACCTAATGTAATGTAATACTATTATATTATGCATACTCTTGAAGTTATAATTTCAGATGTCACCTCTCAGACAGAGTGGCTCCCCTCCCAGGATCGCAGTGGGACTTGTGGTTTACACAAATGTGGCGGCTGAACTTTTGGCTCAGTGCAGTAATTATAAAGTCAAATTGTGTGAGGAGCCGAGGTGGTGCTATCAGCTGACGCAGCGCTGGGATGATGAAGGCCTGACTTTATTTGATAGGACCTGTTAAAAGCATGGATGGAAGCACTGGCTCTCGACCAAAACGCGTCCCATTTGCATTCCTCGGAGCATGCTGTCCAATTTTATCTGCTCTCGCTTGGTCTGAGGCCCCTGAAGCCACAAAGGGCCCGCTGTCCCCCCCACCCCTCAGCCGGGCCCCTGAGCTGCAGGCCTCACATGGACCTCATTACGGAGCGTGCACCTGCACTCAACAGGTGTCTGAAGTCTGCCTGAAAAACTGTGAAAAGCCCTTTGGCTTTGGCACATATTTATTACATGTAGGACCATCTATTAAATATCACAGGCGTAGTTAAAAGAACGAGTATTTTTCTTCTCAAACATCACCTGGAGGCATTTGCATTATTTACAGGAGGTAGACTTTCACTTTTCACATCTTCTTTTCAAGGCATGAATCAATGATATGCTTTTTGTCAGTCCTGAAAAACCCTCTCCAGGGCAGGGAGCTAAAACCTTCTCTCCCTGGAGACCATGATTCTATTATAATAGCACTGGAGACTTGCACTTACAGATCAGGTAGAATCTATTTCTGATTGCCATCACAAACTGAGTTTATAAATGGTGACACAGATTCCACCGCAGTCCAATTTCTTTGTTGGATTTATGTATTTGTTGGATTTATGTAATTTTATTAAATTTAATTTAGATTCATCCTCATTTAGAACTACTAGGAATAGTGTTGTCCTATTTAAGAAAGTCCTGTTTAGACCTGGTTTATGGTGGTACTTCAATATTTATTTATGTAGTTTTTTAACCATGAAATCTGTATAATTCCTGGTTCATGTAATTGGAAAGCTACCAGAAGGCTCTTGTGGGATCTCAAAACCAATTTTTTTCTTATTCTTATTCTTAAATGAAACTAAGGGCAATTCTAAAGCAACACAAACGAGTGTGTACACGCAGCCCCCCTGGTCGTGCTCATTTGAGTGAAGCAGGTGCTGTGTCAGGCGCTGTGCAGGTGTGTAATCTGAAATCTGTGGAGATGAAAGCAGACCCCCCCTCTCCTCCTCCCCCTCCTCCTCCTCCTCTCATGTGGGGTAACATTTTGTAATGGGGTTTTAGACTTGTCTGAGGAGAGATATGGCATCGGAGGATCACAAAAATGTCAAACGTGTGTGAGCCAGGACTGGGCCATCAACAGCAGCCAACCACTCTGCCAACATTCCTCCATCAATTTACTGTAGAAAGCCAGGAGGGGAAAACAAACTATCAATTGCTATTTATCTAATGCTATAATAGTACAACTCTTCTTCTGTCAGCATTGGGCAATCGGGACCCACCCCCACCCACCCACCCAGAGCACAGTAGTAATAACTTTTATAGGTTGAGTGTTTATGTTAATTAATCCCAACTGCAGTCCAAAAATACACGTTTCTGCTTTTTACAAAACAGACACTTTCCTCCTCTGTGGCTCAGGCCGGGAATAGTGCAAAACAAACATCAAATGGATACGGATAAGATTTGTTTCATGTTAATGCAGTTGATTTTTAAAGTGAAAACAAGTAAAATGTCAAACAAGTGTTTAATCTTACAACAAAGCAAAGGAATCAGTTTAGAGTTGGGATTTTGAGTTTTTATACATGGTGGAAACAACTTATCAATCACTTATTTGATGATTAATTTTTCTCTCGAAGTGTGAGTTAAAATCCTCTAAAATAGGGATTTTATTAATTATAGATGGACATGTCTCAAAAGATAGACTTTTACTATGTTTTTAATCAAAAATCTTACAAAAGAGTGACTGTAAATAGTCTAAACGCAGCAGTTGTATAACCAGTAAGGCCCAAGTTAAGTTACTTTACATACTTTTAACATATTACTTTTAATATCTCTAATCATTTTTACAATTTATTTCATATTTGCTGTCATTCCAATCCTTCCCATAATTCACAATCACAAGAAGGCAAAAGTTGGAAGGCATTGGATAATAGCACTACAACGCCATCTAGTGGTAGACATCACATTTCCACATTTCCACATGGTACATGTTGGTGTTTGTCGTCCAGCAGATGCCAGCACCAGAAACGAAGAACACCCTGAACCTGAGAGGCTTCGGTCGGATCAAAGATGGTGTGTGCAGACAGATGCAGTGCTCTCAGCGGGGTGGAGGGCGCGATCTCTGCCCTGTGGGTCCTCTCCACATCTGAGCCTCGTCCATCTGCCTACGGCCATCACCTGCATCACTACTACCACTACTACTACTATCACTGCTGCTGCTGCTATTACTACTACTGATACTAATACATACAATAAATGATGTATACTAAATAAAAATAATAATAATATTGAATTGTTTGTAGTATATGTTGCATTTATTGGTATATGTCAGAGGTTCCTCCTAAGTCACATGCTAATAAATGTTAGGACATAGTCAATTACAACTTTAACACTTATTATTTTTATGATAATAATAATAATAATAATACATTTTATTTATAATGCACTTTACATTTCAGGGAAACCTCAGAGTGCTACAAAAACAGGGAACATCCCAAGATACACAACATAAAAACAATACATCAAATATAACATCAGGAAAAAATAAAAACATAATTACTGATAATTACTAATAGGGTGACAGTAGCTCAGTAGCTCAGTTGGGGTGACAGTAGCTCAGTTGGTAGGCCTTTGAGCCAGAAGGTTGTGGGTTCAAGCCCACCTCAAGACTTTCATCGACTCCCACTGATGTCTGCTGTCGTTGTGTCCTTGGCAAGACACTTAACCTCTGGGAACACCAGGTGCCACGGCTGCGGCTGTAAAGTGCCAAACTGCTGTTGTGTCCTTAGGCAAGACACTTCACCCCCATTGCCTAGAATGAGTCTGGTGTGTGTATGAATGGTTGGTGGTGGTCGGAGGGGCCGATGGCACCTCCGACCATCTCGCTTCTGTCAGTGCGCCCCAGGGCAGCTGTGGCTACAGTAGTAGTTTATCACCACCGTGAATGGAGTGAATGAATAATGACATGTAAAACGTCTTTGAGTGTCCAGAAAAGCGCTATATAAAACCGATGCATTATTATTATTATGATTAGTGTCCATTTGCTCTTCCACCCTCAAGGATGTGTTTTTGAATCCATATTTTCCATATCTGTCCGTGTCATCTTTATTTAAATACAACCCTGAAAACAATCAAACTACCTACTACCCACACTTTTTTCTATTTGAATGGAACAGTGTGCAGTGCAGTGAATAGCTTCTGTAAATACATCAGATTCCTGCTTTTCACAACTGTATGGTCCTTTTAGCAAACAGTAAGTAAGTAATCTCAATTTATTATGTAGCCCTGTTATACAGACCAAGATTACCCAAAGTGTTCAGATAATGTTTCATTCTCTCCACAGACGGTGATGACGGAAGCGAGACGCCAAACAAACAAGCATCAAAGCCCCAACCAACACCATCCATTCATTCACTCACTCATCACATTCAGACCTGCATGTTTTTAGTGGTAGGGGAAACCGGAGCACCTGGAGGAAACCTACACAGACACGGGGAGAACATGCAAACTCCACTCAGAATGACCCTGTTCCGACCAGGATTCGAACCCAGGACCTTCTTGCTGAGAAGCGAGTGTCTTTTATGATATTTTATTTTGTTCTATTTAATCTAGCTATGAAATGTGCAATATAAATAAAGTGGATTGGATTGGATTCTTTAACTGAATTACACATCATCATGATTCATTCAAGTGTAAACAACTGCCAAATTATAAGCCTCTATTTTGTTCTAGATCTTTGCACCCTGCGGCTTATACAGTGACTTATACGGCTAATGTGTGTACTTTTTATTGTTGTAGAGTTGTCAGAGCAGAGTTTTCTGACTTATTATGACTCCAATGACACTCTTTTATTGCCAAAATAGACTGGTAAATGAGTACAGGCTTGGAAGATAACTGCCATCATTAAGTCATGTTGTGACCAATTAAAACAGTCATCTATCTGCGGCAGTACAACTTGAAAACCTGCGGCTTATAGTCAAGTGCAGTCTATATGTGAACAAAATGTACTTTCTTTTTAACTCATTGACGGCCAGTTATTTTTGATGATTTCACTGACTTTCAAGACCCACAGAATATTGTGTGCTATTCTGAAAAACTTAAATGTCTACTTTTATCAGCAAAAATAAGTTGGTTTCTATAGGAAGTTTGACATAAATCACCGGTCTCAGACAAATATGTCAACGGCAGTCAATGAGTCATATACGAAAGTACAGTACATAATGATGAGTTTTTGTCTGCAATGGCCACAGCTCAATACTGGTTATAAATACAATAATTGTCGGGGCAAAGTTTGACAAATCTTTATTGAAGATCACACAGCTCTCAAAGCTAAGACCCATTTATTAAACAGCTACACAGGAGGCACAGGTTTCACATTTTACTGATACAATAACAATTTGAACTCATTTTAATCTCTCGAAGCTACTTGTTACTACAGTATACCCTTAAATATGACAAAGTAGACTGTGAACTCAAATATATATTATCCTTATTATACCGATGGATGCATTGTAATTCTGTTTTAACATGGTTTTCTGTTTTACAATGCAGTATAATAATAACCAAACTTCACTTACTGTAACGTACACAATAATAGTCAATAAGTACATCGTATTTCTAGTGCAATCAAAGTGAATCAAGACCAAAGTGTGTATTACTTTAAGGTTGCATATGTTAAAATTATTCTATAGAAACAGTATTAATTCTATAATGAAAATATGTTTTTTCTTGTGCACTAATTAGGGATGTAACTATAACTAAGTCTCACAATCTCAATTTTATCTCACAATACTTATCGTGATATTTTGAGGACAGACACAGATGTGACATTTGACACCACATTATCACAATATTTCAGTTATCGTTACGTCCCGACCACGAGAATGACTTGCGTGTCAGATTTTTCGCCCTTTTTGAAGTGGAAATGCCTCTGTTTTAACAAAAATATATGCAGTTTGTAAATAAAAGTGTGAAAATATATTGAAATGTACAAGAATCACATTATATATTCAGAATTCATCCAAAACATCATCACAAGTCACAACAAACACATTATGACACTTCAGTTTTTAACAAAGTAAATGCATTTTCTTATATTTAGTTTGTAGCGTAATAATGTTTGCGTAAATAAAGGTTTGACCCAATAAATAATGTCTACATAACTTTATGCCATGAGCAAAAAGCAAAAGTTAACATTTATAACCATTTGTTATAAACTCTCTTCATGTTATGCGGCTAATTAACTTTAAAGCTGGGGTACCTGATTTTCGTAAACTATGTAATCAAAGCCATCACGTTCCAAATCTAATTAGAAAAAAGACATTTTGGTTTGATTGATCAACATATTGGTCATCACTCGTTGGTGCGAGTGATGACATTTTTCATCATTGGTTGAAAAGACTTTTATAAAACCTTGAGAAGTTGAGTTGTGACACCACCTGTTTATGAAGACCTCAGAAGCTAAGCATGACAGGGCCTGGTTAGTACTGTGATGGGAGACCTCTAGGAACACCAAGTGCCATAGTGGGACAGCTGCAACTGTTGTTATGACTTTAGGCGAGTCTTTTCTACTGCATTGCCTCTTGTTTGAGTTTGGTGTGCACCTAAAAGATTGGCGGTGCCAGACAACTCCTGGACGCACTGTACAGTCAGCCCGTCCATGGAAGCAGATTCCTCTATCGCAGCAGGCATCCCAAATGTTTCTCTTTTTCTACCATTCTACCGTTTTTGTCTTCCAAGACAACTGTGTTTGTCTATACAAATAATTGAATTGAATAGATTTAATCGATTGGTGCAATATAGATTGACACAACCCTTGTGTTTGAACCACATTGGTTGCCGTATTGCTGTATAAGCAACCGGTTTTTAGAGTGCATGTGTTTTTGGCCCTTTTTTAGACAGAAAAGTGAAAAAGAGAGCACCCTCACTCAGCCAATTAGTTTTCTGCTCAAATAGCTTCTTTTACACTAGTCTGCAAAAGATAGTCTGCAGAACATATTTTCATGTTATCTATGAAAACAGCATGTTGTGGTTTGATTTTACATTTACAAAACTGTTTTTGTTGAGACCAACTGCATGTGTTTTTTAGGTTAGGTACCCCACCTTTACATTTATATTTCAATTCATAATTCATATTGGGACAATCTGAGAAAAACATTGTGCATCAAAACTTGTTATTATGAAAGGGCAAAGGATAATATGGAATTGTTGATACACTTGCCAGAAAAGCCAAAGCACACTGTGAAAGTTGAAATGAAAATTGCTGAACAAGAAATCCTAAAGATCCATAAATAGTGAATGTGCTTATCCTGAAGTAACAGCATGTGCAGCCTCTCCTCAGGCAGAGAGATATATTATATGATGCTGGAGTGCTTCATCCTAGCAACTTCACACAGTAATAATGACAAAGCACGGCACGAGCAGCAACTGTGAAACACCACGATCAAAACGCTGTCGGTGACAATTTGGTGCGGAGTAGAAACCTCTGCACGCTACAGTGTTGTTCTCTACAGACATCTGTTACTATTGTGTGCCTCACTACAAAGTCAATACCAAGTCAGCAGCAGGTGAGAAGATCTTTCTTATAAATGCTTTTTACACATATATCTCGCAATACGTATATAAATCTTGTTTTTATTTTGTAGAAACGGAGATGACATCTAAAACAGTGACCTGAAGCTACATTTGGAGACAGCAGAACAGAAGCTAAGCCTGTGTTTGCAACCACTGCTTGGGGTCTGTTTTAAGGTTCAAGATGCACTGTGCAACTTTTCTCGATAGGTTGCTTTATATGGAGACCTGTTTAGGAAAGAGGCCGAGGTCCAAAACTGGGTGGATCTTTGAAGCCTGTTCCGTTTTGGATCTCAACCTCACTTTTTTCCCCTAAGAACCCACACAAAGCTTTATATACCGTGCAATGCTAATGTTGTGAAGGACAATTATCCAAAAGAAACTACAGCTGGTGGAGCAGTCCTGCAAACTGTAATGGAGAGACTTTCAATGATTTAATATTAAGATTAGATAAGATAAACTTTATTGATCTCACAATGGAAACATTTACCAGGGTATTTATCATGTGCCACCTATGGCCAGGGACTGTATTATTACAAAGCAAATTCCTGACACCCTTTTCTCATGTGCAACAGAATAAGCCAAAGTTTAGAGTTAGATGTTAGAGTAAGAATGAGGGCTCTGCTTGAAGTGAATTGCCTGTTAATGTATGTTTTTTTTCAGTCCATAGCCATAGTTTGAAAACAGTCAGACAGAGGACCTGCCTTTCCTTTAACTTAACCTAATTATATCGGCCTCATTAAACTCCTCTTTTGTCTTGACTGGCATTTAGAGGCCATTTGAACTTGTCTTACTGCGACACAAGCTCATTAGCTGAAATCACACATGTTTCCCCAAATAAATGTTTGAAGCCTGCACATAAGAATTCCAGTGAGCAGCATATTGTCCTTTCTTTGTGAATGCCCGGGTTATAATTAGCTCAAGACTCCAGCTCTTTCTCACACTCAAAAGGTTACCATGAAACACAACCCTGAATTACAATGTAGTAGGCAATAAGATCTATGTTTTTATGACTAGACTTCACTACTTATGTCTGTGTTTCAAATGATCTCAGATATTTTTCATGGAAGTCCAGGTCACAGAACGAAAGGAGCCTATTGTGCATGTCTTAAGGGAAACAAACCTATTCTGGCACAGGGAGAACATGCAACTTCCACGCAGATAGGTCCTGTGCCATCTATGACTTCAACCTCTTGCTCCATGGCGATGGTTTTAATTCACCAATGTGTCGCCCAGTTATATGAATGATTGAGAATGTCGAAGGGTCTAGGGACAGGGCATAACCAGGGACATTTATGGACACTGGTTAACATAATTATCCAATGGACCGATAACTTTGAGTTTTTTATTGATAGTAGCAACTCTAATGTGTTCTTTTATGCGTTTGATTGCCTAACCTGCAGTTGGAAAATCAATTATTCTGTGATAATCTTAAAGGAGACAGCTTTGATCAGACAGATATACAGTAAGTTTCCAAATATTTATAGGAACAGTTTAGAATAAGCTAATGCAATAAAAAAAAAAAAATGAATAAATGATTGTTGGACTGAATGACTAGTTTCATTGCTGCTGATGTCTGTAGCATAAACAAACGTACAGTATTATCTTCAATATACTGTATTTCTATATCTGTGCGTCTCTTTTTAAAACCAGCATAACCTTTCAATACTGCACCATGTTTTCTCATATGTGACAATAAAGACTTTTTAAAATCTCTTTCTTTCCGCCCTCGACTCAAAAACTCATAGCCAAGAATTGAATGAAGTAAAGAGAATTTCTCCCGCCGTTTTGTGTTTTTCTGATCGACCTTGTGATCTGAGTGAAGAGCAATCTGAGGAGCCGCCTGAACCCGAGCGTGGCCTCAGCCTCGGGGGAAGGCGCGGTACTTTTCTGTCTGACTGATATTAAAAACACCCGACTTTCTCACGGTGCACCTCCCTCCAGATTTGTGTGTTGTCTTTTGGATTTCCAAGTGAAGTCTGGTTAGATCGCCTGTGCGCGCATCATTCCTACATAAACGCAAAACCTGCAACTAGAATGAGGTATAGAGTCTAAATGGATACTATTGGTACTATCGCTACTTTCACAAAATAGTTCTATAATATCAAAGATTATACAACAAAGATAACATTACTAAAAATATAGACTGATAACATTTAGGGCAGTTTATAAACCTGTAAAATATAGAAGTCGACAGTTTGCACAGTGGCAGGATGTAATAGGAAAAAGCTTAGTTGTATTTTTTTCATTTTGGTATAGATACGGAACGAATAACATTGAAAAAGTGTTAAATACTGTAAACAGTGTACCAGTACAAAAGCCACATGTTAGACGGGTCATAAGAGACAGCTCCTCACTCTTCATTCTCCATTGATTTCTCAATTTCCTTCAGCCGGCGGACAAACTCTTGGGCCTCTCTGTCTCCGATACGTGCATCCAGCATCCTCATGATTGGCTTCTCTGGAGGGGAGAGCAAGCAGATGAGACCAGTCACAAATCCTGACACAAATAAAACTCGATTGAAAGACTGTCTACGCCGTAAAAGAGGGAGAAAAATGAAGGGCCAAGAACTATCCCCTGTGGTCGTACCAGGCAATATTGAAGAACAGAGAAAACAGAGGATATGGCTCCGGGTGATTTAAGGAGTAGTGCAACATACTGTAGGGGTTTGTTATGGACATTGTAGAACATTTGTATTAAATACTTATAAAGGTGCAATAAGGGAGATATTAAATTGAACACTTTAGCGTCAAATGTATTCATTTGCGTAATGTCAAATTTGTGGGTAGCAATGACCTAGCAACCAAAGAGTCAATAAGGAATGGCGCTGGTTTGTTCTTAACAACGGGGACAGGGGAATGTGTAAAGCACATATGGATTTACAGCAGCATGATCACAATCCAAAAACCAGAATGGCACAAAGCATTAAAGTACAGATTATTTAAAGCAACTTGTGAGTTTAAGTTTCAATTGTAAGTGAGCCAAAGCGACATATCATTGTTGTTTTAGCACTATCCACTTTTCTATAAAGTTGTAGTTGTAGTAGCAGTAGTATAAAGTACACCCTGTCATACACACCAATACATTATTTCTTGTCTCTGTAATTTTTTTCTTTCACATTTTCAGATAATTTTTCCATTGTGAGACTAGTTCCTATGTATATATTTTCAAGTAATTATTAGACGAATGAATCAAAACTGATTTTCTGTGTCTTGTGGTGCACCGTGTACATGATCACATACCGCTGGGTTTGCTGCGGGACAGGTGCAGGATGGAGGGCTGCACGGTCTTGCCCTGTGGTGAGGCGTTGGGTCGGCCCGGCCAGCAGAAGTCGCTGAGAGGAGCCACGGCTTCGCCCGCATAATCATTAGTGGACAACCAGTCGTAGTCCATCACAGTGAAGGTTAAACAGGCAAATCTGTGTCTGTACTGCTCCGGACTGACGTGGCTGGAAAGAAAGATGACACGTTATTTAGCAAAAACCATGATTTTAGCTTTTTTAATATCCTATTTAATATAATGTTGAGGTTATTTATCAGATTTACAACTGACAATTTGTGTTGTTCTGCTCTTATCTGGTGTGAGTGAAAAAGGATCTCTTATCTGCAGGTTTGTCCAAAATAATTATAATATGTTTAACAATATGCAAGTTTCGAATACAATATTTTAGGATTTACTTTTTTATTGGACTTACATTATAACATTGGGGGTTAATATTTTTTTATTTATTTTTAAAGCAATAATTATCAATAATAAAAAATCTATATAAAATGTTATTTTCACTCCTTTTTAGCAATATTCATAATTTGTTGGATTGTAAGGTAATATCAATCCAACATTTTAAAAAAGTTTCAAGAATAATTCAAGGATCATCACACGATTTGTAAATTTTAATTAAAATATAATTTTCAACACACATTTAATTGAGTGTTGAAGCTAGGGCACGTGCTGTTCAAGAGTTTTACTTTAGCAAACTGCTGAGAAACAGCTCTGAGAGTCACTGTGTAGCACTTTGGGTTAAAAGCTGAGTGAGGGTGGTCTTCTCTTTATCACTTTTGTGTCTAAAAAGGCAGATTTTAAGATGTGACGAACATCAAAATAAAAGAATGTGAAACTTGTGATAGAAGCTGTTTTGAGAGTGAGGTTAGTTAAATGGTTATATCTGAAATAGATGTTTATAATTTGTTGTGGACTGAAAGTTAGGTAATTCCTTTCTTCGTTTCAAAGATGAGTATCTGTTCTCCAAATAAATAAAGATAACTTAATGGGTTTTGAAGTGACTGGTCAACCCGATGCTGTGCCAAAAGAGGCGAGGGCAGTGTGGGCAGGGAATGTGTTAAGTTCATCTACTGTAAACTTACAAGTAAAAGAGCTCATCAAAAACAGGATGCAGTGTTTTGAGTTTCACTTGGGTGCGCTGGCTCTTCGCCAACGGGAACAGATGATGAGGGCAGAGCTCCACGATGACAAACGGATCACTCAGACCTAACACACAAATGTACCATAAGAAGTGACATAGAACTTGAGATATTATGAAATGGAAGGTGTTTATTAGAACGTTACCATTGGCGTCTAGTGCCAGGATGTCGGCTGCATGAAGGATTTCCACCGTAAGTCTCTGCTCTGAAGCCTCGTAGTAGCACTTGACGCTGATCCGGCCAAATCGAGTGTGTTTGAGAGTTTTCTGAAATACACTTAACTGGTTAAAACGGTGCATGACTCAACAGCTTTAGCCGATATAGGATTGTGTGAGTGCGCCCCGCTTAACCAGTCACTTTGAGCTATTTCGTAAGTGATGTCCTTGTGTTCTCCTGTGATCTTGATGCGTTCATGCTGTATCTGCTTTCTGAACAAAAATCAACTTGCCTTGTCCCTATTTCATCTATGAGTCATGGTACAAGCTGTTTTATAATAACATTTCTTCCCACTGTCTGTCTTTTTAGCATAATTTGGTTAAGCATAATGAGAGGAATTGTTGACAGTTACAAGTTGCAGCACTCTCTGGACTCAATGCAGTGTTGAGGAATAAAAGAAAAACAACTGTGGCCGCCAGTCGACCCCGAACGCACCTGATGGGAAATCTTCTCGAGATAGTATTGTTCAATCAGCTCAAAAGACGAGCACTTGTTCAGCTTCAGCTCCTCCTCGAGAGCCTAAAGCAATAAGAAAGAGTGTTATTAGATATTATGACATTATTGGAAGAGGCCGCGTTTTAGTTACTTTGGCCGATTAAACCAACGGCTCTTTTTACTGGAGGAGAAGCAGTCTCGGAAAGAGAGGAAATACGAGTCGTCCAACCCATTCCATATATTAGTCAAAAGTTTTTCACAGTGAGAGACAGGAGGGCACTAGACAAACTGCTCTTCCACTCACCCACTTCACACTTTGCCTGGTAATAATCCAAGATCCAGGCTACTTCACAATATTCCTATTAGACTCTTCATGTTTTGGAGAAGCTTACAATATGTCATGTAAAAGTAACCATTTAATCTGTATAATGTATCTCCTTGTTCTATCTTGTGTTGTGTTTGCATGGGCCACCTCTCTGAAATCTATGGACTATGCTTTTATAATGCTTTTTACTGCTTTTAGACTGCAGCGCATATGTGTGTTGTTTTCACAGCTATTCTTAACCTGTATGTCTCATCGTTCTGTTTTTGCAAATCTTATGTCACTGTTCACTGTCTACATCTGCCTACTTATGCTTCACTATTTTCATAAATCTTTTCTATGCTTAAACTTGCTTTCCTACTCTGCTTGGCGACACTAGTATTTTTATAATTCCCACAATACTGTATGTACAGGCAAGCAGATCTATAGACAATAGTATTTCTTCCCAGTGCTTCCCGGTGCAGTGACATGAGCTCATGTTACAGTTACTCTGAGTCTGAATGATCTAAAACATTTGATGTGCTTAATGTGTTATGCAAAAAGTACATAGACATTTTTGAGGAGGCTTTGGAAAGGTTCTTCACAGTGATTCCCCCAGTCAGAACTAAACATGGGGAGGTTGCATTTCAGATTCATGCGGCTAAAATCTGGAACAATCTCCCTGAACGCGTGAGACAGGCTTCTTTTCTGACAGTGTTTAAATCCAGGTTAAAAAATGTACAGAGCTGTGCATTCAACTGAGGGATTTTATATTTTTATCTTTCTATATAATGCACTGTGATTATTAATGATTTTAATGCTATCTTGATTCGTGAGTTGCCTTGTGTATGAATTGCGCTATACAAATAAACTTGCCTTGCCATTGACTTAACTTGTTAAATACATACCAATAAACATTGAGGGAGAATTGCTTCCACGCTCTGCTAAGTTTTCATATAGTATTTAAACAAAAGGCAGCATATAACGATGTTCTGGTTCGAAATAACATTTTGTTTTCAAGACCGAACCACGAATCGGTTGCTTTGGCAGCTCGAGGAACAGCTGTACCTTGAAATCTCCGCTCTTCATGTCATCCACGCTGAGGCCTGCTCCCTCGGCATGAAAGAACTGCAGCAGTGTCTAATTGTTGCAGCAAAGGAGAAACAGGATCAATATATTTTCACAAAAAACAGCATGAAATCAAGTCTGTCTGGTGGCGGCTTTCAACACTCAGCCCCCACGTTAAACATGACTTTATCGTGAAAATCTGGCACCATTTTGTCCAGCTGGTCTATTTAGCATTGGCATATACAGGAGACTCTTGCCGTACTCTGTCATTCATGGGATGGGCTTCCTGGCTGCTTCACAAATATCTAATGCATTCCCACAACTTGAACATCAGCCAGAGATCATTTTTACCTAATTAAAGGTGATGGCAACAGAAGAGTGATGATGACAGTTCTAAAGAGAAAAACAGACTTTTGCATAATAATTTCACCACTAACCTCAACAGTGTATTGAAAGCGGTTGTAAAACTCAATTTGGACCCCTCTGTTTTCAGAAACTGCATCCAGGATCATTCTCAGGAGCAGCTCCCACATGCTTTGAAGCACCCTGCAAGGAAAATAACAGGTGCTTATGGAAAGACTGCTTAGGAATAGAAAGGAGTGAATGCGGGGATACCTAACTTTAAAAACACAAAATATTAACAATGTAATAAAATCCATGCATGTGAATTATAATACCAAACTGTTTTCAAATCCAGAAACTAGTTACATAGATTCCATAGTTCATTGTTTTGTGGTTTGAAAGTTAGGTGTCCAAGCTTTAAGTGCTATTTATTCATTGTCACACCATAAAAGCTCTAAACTAGTTCCTTGCTCTCAAACCAGTTTGATTCTATCACTAGTTTTCACACTTCACATTCATTGTAAACCTCTGTCTTAGAATATTCAGTGAAAAATAGAGGACAGCCCTCAGTCAGCCAATCAGCTCTCGGTATGTAACATTCAACATGGTGTGGTTTCAAAATGAAGTGAATGAAGTTTGTTTACATTAAAAAGATGGCTACACCAGATTTAGCATCATGCTATTTTCTGTCCGTAGTCTCCATTTTTGATGTTAGATAAATAAGACTCTTTCTGTTGGGACAAGCATAAAACAGCAATGGTAAGACCTACAGCTTTGAATGTACAGGAGGAATAATGTGAGGTTTAAAATGAATCAAAACGTAATTCAATTTAAACAGCAATAAAAAAAGAAAAGAAGCAATACAAGAGAAAATAGAAAATAGCGGTGTTATTTGAACTTTCTTTACTATACAGCGCGACTGAATGATGACATGTTTCCATGGTAACGTTAGCGCCATATGAACCAGGTCAAACTCTGAAGACCTCAGGAGCTGCCTTCTGATACAGCTCTGCCTAGACTGGACTCCAGAAATCAGTGCTTCAGATCTATGCAGCTATAATACGGGGAGATAGATGCATTTATGGTAGGACAATGAATAAATACCACTTAAAGCCTGGGCACCTAACTTTCAAACCACAAACAAAATTAATTATGAAATCCTAGTTCCTGGCTTTCCAAACAGTTTGGTATTATAATTCACATGCATGTATTTTTGGCCAAATTTTCAGATCAGATTTTCCCGTCCTCACTATCCGCTCTCAGCCCAACGTGTCAACTATAGTGTCAAGTATGCAAAAAATGACCTTTTCCCTAATTAGATAAGATACATGTTGCGATGTCATTTTTTGCCACAATATTACCTTTCCAAAATGCTTTCTGTTGGGACAATTATATTTATTTAAAGTAAGATTAATTGCGATTAAAACCCCCTAACCCTTTTGGATTTCGGTAAAATGTAAATTTGAAATCCTGTTCTGTTCTGTTCACACATTTTATGTTATTCACCAGGTCTCCATAATAATTGCATATTTAAAACCATTGCTCGCATAATACAAAATATTCCAGACACAACTCCTTTACCTTGTGAGATTTTCCTTGACCAGGCTGTCAGTGAGGATGCTCATCGTGTCTTGTAGATACTTCATTAGAGGGGACACAGCCTGAAAAACCATTAACACATGTCAAGGCTTACACATTAATTGGAAACGAAAGAAACTTCTATTAAAATCTCACCTCATCGTTGTTGATAGAGTCTGGAGACAGGCTGATGTGCTGGATGTACCTCCGCAGCTCTGGCATCATCTGGAAATCAACTCATAGATTAGTGGCATCCTCAAAGTAATCCATAACTGTGTCATAAGAATCGATTAACACAACAGGGTCCAAGTACAGATAAGATTAGGTTGTAATTATAGTTTAATGTCAATGTCCACTTTTTTTTTTAGAGCACAGGTACAACAACACCAGCTGCCCCATGTGCTTCACATGCATCCAAAAAGAAAAAAAGAAAACAGGATTAAATATGCACAAATACATGTAAAAAGTAAAACAGTAAAACCAAAGCAAAACCTGCAGAATATTTATTCCTCCAGAATAGATTTTTGAGACGAGACCTGGGCACATTCAACAAAACCTGGTTTTCTGAACTCACTCTGACAGGAGCAGAACAACAGATAAACAGGGGTTAAACCATTGAAACAGGGGTTAGCGCAGGGGTACTGTGCTAGCCCTTCTGAACGCAATTAACTGTGCTTAGGTCCAGACCACATTGTTTGTGCATCATCTAAGATTTTAAATTTCCTCCGGGAGCTCCGGTTTAACCATGCACAAATCCTCCAACTCCGGTAGTCCTGACCAAGCCGGGCCTCAACATCCAGAGATGGGTTCCCGGGCGCTGTACTACGGCAACTACTGCTCCTGACAGAGGCCCTAGTGGCATTTCCAGGATGGGTCAAATGCAGAGGACAAAGTTCCCTACAGGGATAAATAAAGTGAGCTTTATGTGACACCTTCCTAAACCCCACTCCCACCCTCTCTCTAAGGCAAGAAATCCCCTAAAAAATAGATTCCTTAAAACTCAATGGGACTTTCCCGGTAAAATAAAGGTAATTAAAAGATGTGTGAAGATGTGTGTGTCTGATGTTTTTTTTCTCTCTCCTTGGAACAACATCAGCGTCCCTTATACGAGACGGTACAGCGAGAACTGCTGAGTCTGTACAAGTGTCACTCATAATAATTCATTAACCTGTTATTATTATTACTGCATTATTACATTGGTACAGATTCAATCCATCTGATATTCTGTCATTCACTAGTGACTTTACCTGCTGACATTGTTACTATTGTTTATTCTGCTCATATTCTCAGCTGTTTAAGTACAATATACACGTCTGTAAATACTTCAGAACCAAGTGCAATTAGAGCTCGACATTTTATTATTATCTTCTTATTTTAGTTTTATTGTCTATTATCTTAAATAATAGACTGTTTAATGTGTGCAATCTGAGTGCTCTTATTTCCTTCATTCCCTGCTGTAATGTGCGCAACGAGGACACTGAAATTTCCCCACTGTGGGACGAATAAAGGATGATCTTATCTTATGTCCCTGCTTTGGTCCTTTCCCTTGTGAGTTAGTACCTTGTCGGTGAGCACAGAGATGAGCCGTTTGGCCTCCCTCTGCAGGTCCACGTCCATGTTGTAGAGCTGTGCGTTCAGAGCCTTGTAGACCTGCTCCTTCCCTTCGGCTCCACATGACTCCTCCATGGCCCTCTCCACATTGCACCAGTCCAGGTCCTTGGGCAGGCAGCCCAGGAACACCCGCACATGCTCCATGCTGTTCAGCCCGATGCAGAGCTGAGCCAAGGCCCAGAGCAGAGCGCACAGAAAGCAGAGAGCAGAGGGAAGGTGAAGAAGTGGGAAACGGAAAAGTAGCAGGGCTATAGAAGCAGTGATGGATTTGCAGTAATCTAATTACATGCAGAGCTCCAAAAACAATTTACCATTATTATTTATTATATCAATTTAATAGCAACCATACCTAAAGTGTTTTTTCAGAGATAAAATAGATTACATTCAAATAACATCACAACATTCCAAGGAACCTACAGTTGAAGATTGTGGTGGAGGGCAGTTAAATAATATCTCCTGGTACAGTAATTAGGAATAGGAAGTCAAATTGCTGGTCTTCTTTTAGAGCGGATTTCTCTGTGATGAAGGGGATTCTTGCATTTTTGCTATGACCTACTGTAGCCTGGCCTTAGCCATCCTTACACTCCGCTCAATCATCGTTTCACTGCATAATGTAATTTGTACTATGGTGTGGTGCGACCAGGCTAGCTATGACCTGGCACCAGTGGGGGCGGGTCCCGGCTCAAAAGTGGCCAAATTGACATGCGCTGCCATGCTTGCAATACCACCCCGGGCCAATGGGGGTGGACCCAGAAGTAGAATTAGCCAATGCTAACATATAGCGTTGGCAGACCTCTCGAAAACGTCTTTACAGGATGGACCAAAAGTTGGCTCTTGGCCCAAAGCTCCGTTCCACATGTGTGTCAATGCACTCAGGTCCACTCTAGTTTACTTGCTGTGAATTTTTTAAGTCTCTCGTTCAAATAAATGGAGCTTGCGCTGGCTGACGCATGCGCAGAGGCGTCTTTTCACAATTTTCTTGTGGGCGGGACCACTCGCGGTCATTTTGGATAGCTCCAGTAGAGCATTATTTTTGGCCCATTAGTTAGAACGGCGGAGATAGGCGTGACTACGTCCATTAATTTTTACAGTCTATGCCTGGCACATGACATATTTTTCTATCATGATTTTTTTTCTTTGTCCCCGATCAAACAAATCCATTAACATTCTACTTTGAATAAGCGTGTTGAGAATCAAATGAAAAAAAAACAACGATGTTTACCATATTTCTGAAAGTCATACAAATAATATGCTGGGTGTGTGGTTCTGTGTTATAACAGATGTTCAAATAAATAAACAAATAAATAAATAAATACATAAATACATACATAAATAAATAAAATAAATACAATATATAGTCCGGGAAAATCTTTGGACATTTTATTGCTTCTAACTTGTTATTTATGATTAGATTCCATTAGTTAGAGTAATTAGTTAGATTTGTTGGTAAGAAACATACATAGATAGCTTTTGGCAGAAATCTTTATGAATATACTGCTATGGCGAGGACTTCTTGTTATTTATATTATGCAGCCCGTGTGGATTTGAAAATCCTAGTCTTTTTCTTTCTCACACAAAGCAATTTTCTCGCGAGGACAAAACATTCTACTTCTACCAACAAAGGGTTTGCTGTGATAAAACATCCATGAGTCTTTCAAGGTTAAACTTCTATCTGTGGTGATGTGTGATGCTTTAAAGTTAGAAAGTGGCATAAAGACAATCATTTAAAACAAACAAAATACTCCTCCAAACATGAGACCGTAAATCTTTCCTCACTAACTTTTAAATAGCCTTCATGACATCTTCAATCCATTTAATTAGTGAATGATGTCCTTTTGATTAGGCATAGCAGCGTTTCTCTATGTGCTAACAAGCCTAGTTTGGCTTTTGTGTGTGTTTATTTGCACCTATCATCTCGCTCATCGCCTGCTGCTGCCGCCGTGTTGCCTGGGAAGACACTTGCTGACATTTGGCTTCGCGCGTCATCATTTCGGCTCCCACTCTTCCCTGCGCGACGCTGGCTAAAGGCGTTACCTGCACTGTGAAGCTTTTGTGGTCTCGGCCCAGCTGGCTCCTTTCAATCTTGCGGGTCATCATCTCGGAGTAACACACGGCCTCGCTGCAGAAGTTCTGAGAGGGAAATAGTAGAAAAGGTGGAATCATGGTGTGCTTTCAACGCTGGTGAGATCGTGGTGTGACAAAGTTGACACAGAGTTATAGTAACAGAGGCAAATATAGAACATTTCTGAGTGTGTTAATAAGAGCTTTTTGCACTATTCAAGCTACACAAAACTCAATCAAATCAATGCTAAATGATTCAACAATGAAACACTTATATCGTTCTCTTGCTAGTATTAAGAAGTAGATCTATACAATTTAATTAAATGTTTTATCCTCCGCAGGACCCCAGATTTCTGATACATTCAAATTGTCTCCATACCATTTTGACATTGTGAAAAAAGGACACCCAAGGAGGCAAAGCTCATAGATGGGGTCTGGGGATAGCAGAACAGAGAAAGATAAAAAAAATATAGAAGAAAAAAATATATACTGAAAATAAACCCAAACATAATTAAAAATTAAAAATGCATAATGAGATACACACATACTCACATGCATACAATATACAAGTTAATTTCTACCTCTTTTGGCAAATGCGATTCTATTTTTACATCAAAATCTGGATCCTTTTGTACCAGGTATAATAGAAACATTCAGAAATCACAATTTAATGTCAGGCTCTTAAACGTGCACAAATAGGTACAGAACCCTCCTGCTCAAAGATTTCTTTTCATTAGGCACACAGCAGTTTTTAATTCAGTGAATGCAATGACCTCAGTTGGAAATTAGTTCCATTGAAATGGAAGTGAGGGCCAATCTAGCAAAAGGGGTTCTACATTTAGAGATAAAACATTCTCTTCATGCAGGGGATTTTGGTTGGAAACGTTTCTACAAAGTATTACAAGAAAATTCGATCCCTTGCCCAAGGCAGACATATCAATTGATGATTTGTGTGTGTCTGTGTGTGTGTGTGTGTGTGTGTGTGTGTTCCTGTATGCATTGAACATACAACAATTGATTGGAAATTTGCATTGTCAACATAGCAAAATTGCCTAGCCCTAGCTGTATTGAACTCCGGGAGAACTCAATTCACTAGTTTATGAAAGTAAAGTCCTTAACTCATTGACTGCCAGCCCATTTCAAAACAGGTACTCCCATATTGCCAGCCGTTTCTGGTGGTTTTTACTGATTTTTCAAGACCCACAGAATATTGTGTACTTTGACTATCTGAAATCTAAAACTAGATTCTGAAAGAATGGGCTGTCTACTCTCAACAGCAAAAAGAATTTTGTTTCTATCTTGTTTAGTTCTTCTGTAATCCCCAGTTGAGTAGAGGGAAGTTTTATTGAAATCACCAGAAAGCTGAGAAAAAAGGGCCACAAACAGTGCATCTAGCTGTGTTCAAACCATTCATAGCGCAATGCTGCCATCTGCTGGCTCCATAAAGTATTGCCTCAAGCCAATCTCCACATATTAGATTCAATGGACAGCTGGGAACGTAAAAATAGCGGGAAACGCAATTGACGTGTTAACACGTCATTGGCAGACAACGTTACTATTTAGTTTGACGTGTTAACACGTCAATGGCAGTCAATGAGTTAAAGACACATTTTACAGCCAGTTGACAGCCTTAAGGCATTTCATATCATAAATGGATAAAAGCTGGAGTCATGGGGCATTGACTCCGGCTCAGAGGTGCAGACGCTTTCTCTGGTGTGATGTTAAAGTGAAGCGGTTACTCACGTCTGTCAGTCTGGTGATGAAGATGAAGGCCCCTGCGGAGTCGGGCCAGGACATCTGCTGCCACATCTCTCTGACCTGGTTAAAGCAGAGAGAAACCTCAACGGCAGATGAGCTGTGTTTGGCCAGTCCCACTGTCTCCAACTGCAGCAAGAGAGGTGAGGAAGGTCACCAACAATATTAATATTTATTTTATTTGTTCATTTGAATTGGACAGTATGTATTAATGAGCAGCAGCGTTGTAAACCGGATTGCAGTCTTGGGCCAAATTCCATCAGTTGTTCTACAGTCACACTCACAAACACACTTCTACACCTTGAACTTTTAGGGGGTACCCAGTAAAACATGCAAACTCCACAACAAAAGAAAATCTGGAGGTGAAGTCGTGGAGCACAAACCACAAGCCTCCATTCCACCCATCATAAAATGGGAAGAGATGGTGTGAGTTAGCTTGAGATTTGGAAATGTTTTTTTTCTTTTCTATTCAGTTACACACATGGTGCTTGGGTAGGGATGATGGTTTTTAAATGAATTCATTTCAAATCCATGCTTTCTTGGTTTGTTACTTTCACTTGTTTTCACATGCATGTATTTGTGTCACATCTTTAGATCAGTTTTTTCAAGCAGAATAAACCATTCACTAATGCATTCACATAGCCAATCCACTCTCCCCCAGTGTCAAATAGTGACTCATTTTTCTGAAAAGTAAGCAAAAGATTTTTTATCCCCAAATAAGATAATGACAATATTTTGTGCTTTGATTTGTTCAAAGACTAACTGTTTCTGTAGCGGCAAACAGAGTGAGTTGTCACAAAACCTCGTCCATGAGAACTTCCCAATAGGTCTTTATTGGGCTTAGCATTGTCCATCTGTATACAGTCAGGACGAATTATACCTATGATGCATGCTCTTCCTGTGCCTGTGTAGGTTTCCCCTGCCACTAAAAACATGTACAGTAAGCCTGACTATAACGAGTGAGTGAAATGATGTTGATGGTTAGAGGCTTCTTCACTGTGTGTTGAGAGAATATAAATTACTGGTACAACAACAATTGGACAGCGCTTTGTATGACCTTAGTCTGTGAAATGGGCTATATAAATGAAGATTATTTACTTACTATATAAAGTAGTTATAAAAATCACCTTGTCCGAGTCCACCGCCTTGCTGATCCTGTCACATGACCTGTCGTGAACTATCTGCAGCCATTTATGAATCGACGACTTAAACCAGTTATGGAACCCTGTCAGAGCCAACATCTTTGCGTCCCTGTTCAAATGTAAAAATAAAGGACATCAAACTTTATCTTCAATATCCTCATATCCGGTCTGACATTTGGGAAAGATAATATAACTGCAAACTGCGAGGGGGGGTTATAGGTGAGACTGACTTGAGAGGCAGGAACTCTCGAAAGCCTTTGAGGATCTTTAGTGACGTGAAGAGTTCAAAGATGGTTTCTCCCATGCTCTGCGTCAGTCTGGAGCTCTCCTGCTCTAGAGTCCCACACACACGCTCCATGGCCACGTTCACGTCATCTGCCACCTGCAACAAACAACAGCATTTGGGTCGCATTTAACCTCACAGCATGGAGCCGCAAAAGAAAAGAGAAATCAGAGAAATTGCTGATGATTACTGACTCAGCTTCCCTTATGAAATACAATAATATATTAGAATACTAAGTACTGTCAATGTACAGTATATTTCTGAATAACTTTTACTTTAATTCTCTGAAACACCAGTAAACTTTGTCAATATTGTTATTAAAACAGGGCAGAAGTTTTATCCATGCAACTATTTCCATCTATCATTTCCATACTTCTATTATTATGTATAGGAAAATCTGGTGAATTATTTTCCTGCCGAGGGGGTAATGTGCTTGCCTCTGTGTGTGTGTCTGTTTGTTTGCATTGTTGTGTTGATAAGATGTGATGGTAGATTGATCCCATTACAATTTCAGGTAGGATTTGTGACGGGGTATGCCAAGAGTAGTGCTTCTAATGCCATGTATGATTGTATCCATCTTGTTTTGTTAAGCACTTTGAGTTGCGTTGTGTATGAACTGTGCAGTACAAATAAACTTGCCTTGTCTAGTTAGTATTGCTTTCAAAACAAAATTGGATGCATTGTAGGTAGCTCTCTATTTATTATAAATGTACAAAACAGAACCCTTGAATGGTTTTATAGTTAATTAAGAAGCAAGAGCGCACTTCTTAAAGGTGTATTGCAGAACAGCTGTTGCCATGGAGATTTTCCTTTGCTTGTATCTCAGCATGGTATAATACATAATACATGATTCAATCTTAGCTTCTTTTTAAAAATATAGAGTTGGGCACACAGTCACAGGGGAAAAGCTCTGAGTAGAGTTGCTGCTCCTCCATGTTGATTAGTCTAAGCTAGACTTGAAAAAGCATTGGCATACGCTATAATATTCCAGAAAACATTTAGATGGACTCAAGCTAAAAACAGATCCCTGAGAGTTGTGAAGAGGAACATTATTTTTTTCATGCAGTCCATAGTTTTTTACTGGGAATAGGAAAAACAACGTACAAGTTTCTCCAGTTGCCGGTATGTGATGCTGAAGAAATCCACTTTGACAGCACTGCGTGAACACAACATTAGGATCACAATTATTAACAGTTTTTCTTCAACATTTCTTATTGCTCTTGTTTTACCTGTAAAAGAGTTTGTTGTAGATGTTCTGAGCTCGCTGTACATCCGCACACACTGCATCTACGATTTGGATCAACTTCTTAAGCTGCTCCTCCAGAGTCTAGGATCAAATGAATGTAATTTACATCAACCCCAAACGGATAGTGGTAATATTTACTAGAGCTGCAAGATAACGCTGATCCTGGTCTTAATAATCCCATTTGAAACAATACTCCAATGGTCAAAAATAGATACATATAAATAAATAAGAATGCAAAAAGAACAAACATGATTCTCAACACAACAAACATTATTAGTGATACTAACAAAGTGGAGCTTGTCAGGAACAGCGTAGGGGGTGCCAAAAGAACCACTACGCCCAACGACAAATGCTTTTATCCACTGTGGGTAAATAGAGAAGCTAACAGGTGCTAACTTCCATCCATCAATTTTTTTATGTACTGGTTCTAGGTGCCATTCCCCTTAATCCATTGCCACCCAGTACACATAGCATGGCTTCTTTATGGCATAGCCTTGGTCTTTCAGCGAGGGCTTCAGGTAAAATGGGGTTAAGTGTCTTTCCCAAGGACACAAGGTCAGTGGGAGTCAGGTGTTGACATGTCTTACTTAAAGGGGACATAACCTGTAATTTGCACACTCAAAGCTGTTTTTAGAACAATTACGGCATTCATTAGTTGTAACATAGTAATATACATGCGCCGTTATTGCTCTCCTCTCAGTCCTCTGACTATCACCACCTCGCCCCTCCCTACTTGTCATACATGATCATTTTTGATTGAAGGAAAAAGATAATAATCGCATTGAAACTTTGTCCACAGAGTGAGCATCAAAGGGGTGGGGCTAAGGGCCATGGGGGTCATAGAAGATAAAATTAAAGCGAAAATAATCCGGTTGTTTCCCCTTTCGGAAAAAAAGTGTTTTTTTAGTGAGTTTTGTTTACATTTAGATTGCGTCCAGTATACATATTTTGGTCCACACATTTTGTCTGAGTGTGTGACGTCAACTGTAAACCGTGTTTTTTTCTTCTCTAACATTGATGCTTGCTCCTTGTGACATGAACGACCCTATGATCATATATCGTCTACTGTATTGGCGGTACTCACCCCGTCCTCCGGTTTATGTCTCGTCACAAGGCTCTCGTACCACTCGGCAGTTCCTTTCTGTGGATCGAGTAATGACAGAAATTAGAAGGGTCATTGTTCAGATCAGGGCTGAGGTTGTTATTGCCGCTCTGGCTCTTTTTCCTGTTGATCTTTGCCTTGGCCGTGTCGATAGAGCGCAGCACAAACACTTAATGGCTCTCAAGGACCATTGTGGGCGTGTTATTAAACTCTAATAGCACTGTGAGGACAATATAATGACTCCATAATAAACTGAAGGGTGATTAAAATGCAGGAAAATGCAGCTTGTTTGCACCACCGAGAGAAAATAAGTACAGACATTTCTTATTTTTTCGCTTCACTATTACATGTTTTTTATTTCAAGCCCTCACCTTTGGCAACAAACTACAAATTTAACACTGCTTTGAAATTAATTTAATATAAAATACAATTAAAACCTGTTGTGTGGCATTGACTAGCTCATAATAATATTCTGGTTTCTGGTTGTAGATACTCACAACAATGTTTATATGCACTGCCATTAATTCTTTCAAAAGTAAGTAATTTAATTTTATTGTTCCTTACTTATGGTCCAGTTAATTAAAGTTAAGCACACGTAATAAGTTAAGCACACGTAATAATTCAAAATACATAATGTACCAAAAAATGCTTGAGGGCTACACAGTACTTTATACAGTACTTGCTTATTCTGCCAAATGTAGAGATTTTATACTTTGTTATCATGTTAAAGATAGAGATTTTATACTTAAAGTTATATTTTTTTCCATTTTTTTTCCATTGGCATTGTTTACTCTTGCACAGTTTTTTGAGTAGACATTCTCTCTTTTCTTCTATCATGTCCATTATGCAGAATCCAAATTGATTACCTTGATTGCTGTCGTGATGTCTAGATGGAGCTCGTTTCGGAGCGGGCACACGGTCTTAAAGGCCCGCATGTTCTGCATGTATCCAATCCCCCTGGTATCCACAATTACAAAAGACAGGGTGTTAACATGCACACACAACAGAAAGTGCATTCATTTAGCTAATTATTACATTGGTTCTTCAGTGTGTAAGAAGGTAGGCTGGGCTCCACTCACCGGGGAGAAAAACCACCATCATATAAATTAGTTTGACACGTGAACTTTGATAATTAGCTCATTCTGCTTCATGAGATTTATATGCAACGACCGACTTAAATTAACTTCAGCAGCTTCCCACACACTTCACCATGCCCAGTTCGTGAGTTCACTGTATCACGTGCAAATCTTTGATGATCTTCAGAGTGTGTGGGAAAGCCTGCATCAACCTTCAAATGGACAAAACTACGCTACGTTATAATACCCATTAGTTGAGGGAATATTTTCATGTTCATGTTTGGTTAAACATTGTTGTTGAAATTCTAAGCAAAATCAGTTGCTTTATGATGAAAAGAAAGGAATGTTCTCTCCAATAAAACTACACCGCTGTATTCTGTCTCATGTCTGGATTTTGAATTGTGAATTGGGGAGTGAACTGATTGAATTTCTGATTAAAAGCTCCATGGTTGGCCTTTAATTGCAGAGCCATGGCGATGAGATGATCTGGAGGTTAGCTGTCTGAAGCCGTGGAGATGAGAGTTACCTGAGCATGAGTTCGTAGCGTGTGATGGCGGCTGCGCTGGAGCAGGGGAACACCTGCCTCATGTTCTTCATCAGACACAGACAGTGCTCTGTGTACAGCCTGAAGCTGTCTGACAACTGCCTCTCCTGCGTCAGCACATTTTTGGATTAACCAAAAACCTTAATGAATGTCAGTGACGGGCTAATGACAGGTGCATTCTGATAATGGAGGACAGAGAACGTCCATGTGCAGCACATACCAGGTCGCCCCGCACAGTGGGGGCGTCCCACTCTGCATCGATGCTCCTCAGGAGGCGCAGCAGCAGGGAGTAGCACACCCTCTGAGTGCGGTGATGGCTGCTGTAGCACTGCCAGCGGCTGCTCACACAAACACAAAGCTTCAGGTAAACCTAATGACTCAATCAGATCAATGCTGCGCTGATGAGCACTCACATTATGGCCTGTTGCAACGGGGACAAGTCTGTCTGCACTGCATGATGGGTAAGCACGGTCCAGGCCGGAGGACTCACCTGCCCTGTCCAGTTGTACGGCTCACGCTGCACAAGATTCAAGCTTTTTCAATCACTTTTTGAATGTTGACAATGGTATAAAGCAGTTTAATAAAATCCAGTATGAATAACAGACCTTGATGTTAGTGTGTTCATACTCCACTATTTGACCCAGTAATTTCCTGTGAATGGAGACGTTAGAGTCCTTCTTTGACAAAGTGGTGTCTCTCTATATAGGAAAAAGATTGACTTGTCATAAGTGGACTAGATGTGGCTGATGGTGCTTGTAACAGTGTCTGACCTGATTCGTGAAGAGCTTTAAGATTAGAAGACATTCTCCCTGAACTTTGGACGCACTCGAACGCGGCTCCAGCTTGAACCATGTGTCATAACCAGACACTGGCATCTCCTGGACAACATAACAGACACAGCAACCCACACAAAATATAAAGAACTCGTTTATATCTACTGCTACCACAGTTCGGCAGAGTATATTTTCACTCACATTCAAAGGGATGTTGATGCAGCCGAGGAAGTCGTCCGCGTTCTCCTCAGATCCTGAAGAAGCAGAACCGTTGGCGCGCACTGATTTTGCTATCTGCTTAAAATACCTGTCACAAAAGCAACTCAAATTATATGTGTAGGAAGCATTTTTCTTCTGCCTACTTAATTGTACCAGAAAATATTTTTTTTTTTATAGTCTCAGCCGCATGTAGTTAAATCCTCATTCATATCAGAGTTAAAATTCCAAAAACAATGTGACAAAAAAGTGAGACATTGTGTAGCTGATTTCATGTATTACACAATAAAATTAAATATATTATAAAGATATTATTATAACTAATCATTGTTGCACAATACTAAATTAGATTTTAATACAAATTCTAAAACCATTTATCACAGACAACACAATAATGATTATAGTACTTTTGCAAATTATACAGTGTGGTCTAACTACTACTGTAATACTAGGTCTGATAGACATAGACCCAGACTCAGACCTAAACTATTCAGAAAACGTCCCATTTTGACAAAAAAAAGTAGTCATCTCAAAGTCTTTACGTTTAAATCTTGGTCCAGAAAGCTTTTGAAACTCGTTCAGTAATAGATTACTCATGATTGAATGAGGAATGAAAAGACCGTCTCCACTATTGATATTTTTTCGTATCAGGCTTACATTTAAGTAGCTATTAGTTTATACTACAGCCTCAACTGTCCTGAGGGCAGTTTTTGTGCTCCTCTTCCTCCTGTGTCTCCTCCTCTTCTCCCTTTGTGTGTTGGTTCAAGGTCTCTTTATTATCCCAGAGGGACAATTTGGTTGCAGCAGCAGAAAGGTACACATATTCACGAGGAAACAATAGATATAAAACAGAATCACAGGGATCTGTCTCCTCTCCCATTGCAGGTGAGCAGGTGCCTGCTGTGAAGAGGGTCGGCACTAGATCATATACGGAATCGGGACAAAACCGGAAGTAACAATCCTACTTTCGAATTCGTTTTAGACTAATAAGTCCTTAAGTGGTGACTGGTTAAGTTTTAGGCGTCTGATTACGGTTAAAGACCTTATGCCGGGTTTGATTTATTTAGAAATACGGTTTTAATACCATTTTATATTAGAAGAGAACTACTAAAGGTTTCAAAATCTGTTGTTGTTTTTTTTGTCTGATCCCCCAAATCGAAATAACCCCATAGCAACGCCCTTAGAAACGAAAAAACTTCACAGCCCTTGGTGACGTCAGAGTGGGTACGTTTCAACGCTGTAAGTTGTTTACAATTTGGTATTCGTTCTTTTTTCGCGGATATTCAAGATGACAAGGCCGTGTACAGCGAGTCTAAGATGACTACTAGATTGTAACATTTTGTTGTCACTGAGATAGTCCAGTGGTTGTGTCGATGCACTGCCATTCCAGATACTGGTGTTCAAATCCCACCTCAGACACATTTTCACTCTCAAAACGTCAATTTATGTGTAGTGAGGAATTGTCACCTGTAGAGTGCAGTATTGTGTTGGGCATCAGTGGAGAGAAGAGAGAAAAGGCAGTCCTGTGGCATAGATCCATGGTTTTCAATGCATGGGCGTAACCCGCTATGACGTCACACACAGGTTAGAGCATAGACAACTTAAATTCATGAAAAACATGTTCTTTTTATAAAATATAGGATTTTTTTTGCCGGAATCTATTTCAGATCGACATTGTCATGCAATTTTGATATCCACAATTTAAAAAAAAAAAACCCGGCATAAGGTCTTTAAGGCTGGGTTGGGGTTATTTTATGGGAACGGCTGGTTAAGCTTAGGCATAAATAGGTAGTTTGTTGTATTTACTTCCGCTCCCGTCCCGATTCCGTATATGATCTAGTGCTGACCCTGTGAGGAGAGCCCACCTGTCTCCCATCAGGCCAATTGGGAAAAAGCTTTGCTTTAGATTCTGTGAACACATATTCTGGAAATTATTGTAATTCAATTTTTTGTTTTATTCTCAGATAGAGGACCATCTTTTTGTCTTGCCATTTTTTCCCGGAGCCTTTGGATTTTTGTTCCAACCCATTTTAGTTCTCCAGTGATTTTTGTTTAATTTAAGATATTCAAATTTTGGATTTGCATTTGGATTTATTTTATCAAAATGATAACATTAACCACTACCACCACTGTTGAACAATCTTACAAGCATCACAAAACTGGGAAACATGTACTCTGCTTTAGCAAACACCAACGATGGCGGCTGCCACATGCTGTGACCAGTTTCTTTTTAGACCGGCTATACGAGTAAATCAACTCTACTTACTGTGGTGTGCATTTGTGTTTATTGTTGATAGTAAAAAGCATTACGCATTTCTGCCATGTCCTGTTTTCGACTCTTTAGCTGTCCAATCAAATGCTTCAGGGGCAGAAATCCAGACACTCACTATATGAAAATAATGATCGTAAAATCCTGTGGTTTTGGCTTTAAGCTATTCTATTCTAACTACTACATTATGGCTAGTTTAGATAACACAAGGTCAGTGATTAGATCAGATTCAGATTCTGGTGCACCCCAGTGTGCACCAGACAGAGAACACACCAGAGCTCCTGCCACTGCGCCGGCGCCATGCTATTATGGGATTTTCACAAATGTGGCGTTAGGGTTAGGGTTAGTTGGTTGGTTGTGACTAAGTTGGTTGTGTGATGAATTTCTAAATATATTTCCTTCTGCCATGAGTATAGTTCTGTTTGAAGTATGTTCTCAGCATGTTTAAATCTGTGTACAGTAACAAACACTGATTGATTATGAGATTAGTTGACAAGTATTTCAACAGCGTTTAACCGATAAACTTGTTACATCCTTATACTATTTCTTCCATGTCTAACCTTTGCTGCAAGCTGCTTTAACTCAAATAACTGCTTTCACCTTCACTGCACTAAGATAATACCAAACACTTCTACCCTCCATTGACCACAAGATGTAGCCTTCATCTTTGAGCTGTTCATTGGAGGATGTTTTGGCCAGCCCTCCCTCGACCTGGCTCAGCTGCTGCCCCGCTTTAACGCTAATAGACTCTTCTAAGAACATCTCGCTGTCAGGTGAGAGGAGTTTTTGTCAGATGAGCTGCACAAACAAGTGGACACTGTTTTTATTCTGCTCCGTTCTCAGCCGCGTGACTCACACTCGGACTCCGCTGATAAAGCACTGACAAGAAACTCCGACACGGACACAAGATCAGTTTGATGAAAGGTTTGGACAGTTACGCGTGTTTAATTCAGTATTTTTGTGCGTAATATTGTTGAAATTGGTGACAAAGACCTACCTGCCCATTCCTCGAAGGCCGCTGATTTCGTTCAATTTTTTACAAGCTTCAGCTACAGACACATCGTCATCATGATCCCTGGACACAAGAAGAAAAGCAACGACGACTTTTACATGACAAAAGATATGTGATTAATATGCACTTGAAATGACAAGGGCTTATTTATAATGGAGATATTATTATTATGTATACATTTTTTAGAGTTTCGCTGATTGCAATTTGGAAATAGTGATCCCAGTCATATCATTGAGGTCCATGAGGTCTGGACCTTGGTATTTTTTCTAGATTATCATGTAATAATGAAGAGTGAATGTATATTTCTGTTCATTTGTGTTAAATATTCTTTTTATGTGTTTTTTGGTCATCGTCCTGATTCACTCATTACAGTCAGATATTTTGTTTGTCTATATATTCAAGTAGCTTTTGATGATATTGTTGGCGTAGTCCATATAATTTGACTTCTTTAAGAGCAGAAGACATTGAATTTTTTATTCAAAACACCCTCAGAATACAAAAAAGGCATAGTTATGTTTTGTTAAAATTGTCTTCCAAAAGACTGCTAACCATCAAAAGTGTTCTTGCAAGACAAATGAGTTGTTGAAGTGTACTGGTAATGTCTTGCAGCTGCTTGGATAGTTTTCTTTAGACCTCAGTATTTACTAGTCCTCGCATACATCTCTGTATCTAGTCTGGCTACGCGTTGGTCTGGTTGCCTTATGTCTGTGCAATTTTACAGGTTGTTAATAAAAATATTGAGACAAAAAATGTTTTGGTCCTGGCGGTTGATGGAGTTATTTTTTGCATAGTATTAACTAGTATCATTAGCCGCCAATGCTAGCATGTTAGCAATATGAAGATTTACTTTTCTGTTTAGGCGGCAAAGTATCAGACACAATCTATACAGAAACCGGGCTTCCCACAAACATTTATCTTTTTCATTTATGTTACATTTTCAGTAGTACTCTGTCCCTCATAAACTTTAAGGGCTCCACATTTTGATTGTTTCACATAAAATGTCTGAAAGGTTGAGATGACACTGAAACGCTAAAAATCAATGGGAAGAATTGCTGCCAAATGGAGGAGTGTAGATGAACAGAAGACATTTGGTGTTGGCAAAGAGCAGTCGTCGTACCATATGTCCAAGTGTAGGAGATCATTGTGGACGTCATCAATTTCACTGAGAACAGAAAAACAAGATTCAGTTTTCAATAACACACTCAAGAAGACACAAATACATTGCACGGTTGTTGTATATATATTTATTTTTACTTACACATTTCTCACACTATTACAAAGCCAATAAAATTTTAATTGATTGACCATTTTAATTTTCCCTATTGTATTGTATGCATTGTTTTCCATATTCTGTTCAGTAATGTACTTGTGAAATACAGGCTGCATGGTTCTTTATGTAAATGGTAGAATACATTCATTATTTCATTTGGATTTAATTGAATGGGGTCAAATTGAAGGCCATTTCTGTAAAGTTTTGAATTTGGCTCCATCAAACTGATATAAACTGACCAACCCTGTATTACACAGTACAAGCTGGAGTCTACAGCACTGGTTTAACCAAACATTATTATAAAGCGCTACTTTATTCAAGACCTAAAGCTTGGGCATCTAACTTTAAACCCCAAAGTTATATACCCAACCATTTCATAAAAAACACTATTTTTGGTCTCTGTCACATCTTCAGATCAGCTTTTTCTGACAGATAAGTGAAAAAGAAAGAACCAACCAATCATCTTTCACCCAAAATCATCAAATATTGACTCACAGGGCTCTTTCAGGTATGCAAAACATGTTTTCTAATAAGTTAAACACAGCATTCTTTGGTCTGATAATGGATTTATTATACTAACTCTGATTTGTTCATCATATCTGACTTACACAAGACCTATAATAATTCTCAATCATTGCAAGGCGAAAGAGGAAATCAACTATATCATTATTACTATACAGTATATCATCAAAGGATGCTGTTACCACATGTAGATTTATACTTACTATACTTAGATAATACTCACAAAACAAAGTGCTCGTCCCACACCGGGTTGAGTGTTTCCGGTTTTACTTCCGTCACCTGAATGCATCGCGCCGGTAATGCTTCCTTTGTGCTTAAACGCTTCTCCAATTTCTCCTTCCTCTTTCGGAAGCTGAACTTTCTCTCTTTCTTCTCCTCGGTGTCATGTGGGCTTTGACCCTCCAGAATACCCAGCATGCAGTAGGGGTCACTATATCCTGCCCAGACATAAGACAAGTTAACTCGTTTCTGCTGAATGTGATGTCACTCAAGTATAGATGTAGCACCTTGAAACCCTCACCATTGGAGTCCTTGGCCATGAGATTCTTTGCTTTCAACACGGACACTCGCAATGAAAAGCTGGCACGCTGAAATGGAATAAATTTAACATATTCAAAAGCAGACATTGGAGAGAGAGGGCGCGTCTGCTCATGCTGCCAATTTAAAAACATATCATATGAGTAGAGGTAGATACTTTTTCAATTTGAGTTCAGAGTTTTGAGAATGGGAATTTTAGCCTTGAGTGAGACTCTAGTGTGTGTGTATGTGTGTGTGCTGGTGTGTGTGTGTGTGTGTGTGTGCGTGTGTTTGATGGTGATTGCATATGCTTCAATAGACACCTACAGTAAAGGCAGCATCTCACTCAGTCTGTCCCAGGGCAATTATGACTTCACATCACAGGAAATTGCGAATTCATAATGCAACTGTCCTGATGTAAAGTGGCGACCAAAATCCGATCATAACTGTTCTTGCAACCAGTGATAACACTTCTATAATCACGACAACAACAGCCACGGCCTCCTCTATGCAGTAAGTCTAGTTCCTACAGTGTACACGGCTATAATGATACCCAAGGCTGAAAAGTGTTCAGGCAGATGAACAAATTCAATTAAATTCATTTCAATTTATTCTTGTATAGCTCTAAATCACAACATTAGTTATCTCAGAGGACGTTACAAAGAAAAGTACTTCAGGAAGTTTCAATTCACTGCAAAAGGATTATTATGGACTTTATTCACTGCTTTTTTTTAGACGTGAAAACATGACAGTGAAACAGATATACACAATCAGCAATCACATTGAATAAACAATACAATATTCACAGCTTTACACCCTTACCCTCGCTTCCACATGTACACACACACACACACACACACACACACACACACACACACATGCACACACAAACTCACACAGTCACAATCACACACACACACACATGCACACACACTCGCACACGCACGCTCAGTCACACACAATCGCACACATACGCACACACACAGTCACACACAAACAGAGAGTCACAAACGCACATACACAAACACACAGTCACACACAAACACACAGTGACAGTCACACACGCACATGCACATTTATATTCATGCACACACAGTCACGCACAAACACACTGTCACACACGCACATACACATTTACATTCATGCACACACAGTCACACACAAAATACAGTCACACACGCACATACACATTTAGCTTCATGCACACACAGTCACGCACAAACACACAATCACACAAACGCACATACACATTTACATTCATGCACACACAGTCAAGCACAAACACACAGTCACACACAAAATACAGTCACACACGCACATACACATTTACATTCATGCACACACAGTCACGCACAAACACACAATCACACAAACGCACCTACACATTTACATTCATGCACACACAGTCAAGCACAAACACACAGTCACACACGCACATACACATTTACATTCATGCACACACAGTCACACACAAACACACACACTTGATCTTCATCCTAAATTGGAGTAAGTGGAGGCCTCTTTTTTCACTAGTTCTTTGTAAATGCACTCATTGTTGTGACATGGTTAAAAGCTGAAATGATGTGCATAGTACGTCTCCTTTAAGCTATAAATAATATTTGGAGTTGGACATGAGTGTGTGCAGACATGCTTTTGGAGAGTGCTGGTCTCAGGCTGTGGCTCTGCAGGCTTTGACTTTCACTTTATTACTGCGGCAGAAACTGGAAAAGAGTCAGAGCGGCACTCAGGCCCCAGCTGAGTATTTAGCTCTATCAAATAAGCTTTTTACTCCGTTTCAAAAGTACATCTGAAAAACAACTGCCTCCCAAAACACAGATACCCAACGTATTCATAGTTTATGCCATGTTACCTATGTATATTGTATATATATTGTATTATATTGTATTATCACCTACGGGATCAATAAATTATCTATTTATCTATCTATCTATCTATCTATCTCTAACCATCATGGTAGAAAGTATTTTAATCACAGTGTATTCAAATTTTTATTATTATTCAAACAAACAAGAATTTTTGTTCTAAACTGAAGGCATTTGTTCTGAACTTGTTGTTCCTTTTCGTGCGCCAACTTTCTAATTTGGTTTATTGTAGATTGAAATGCTTTGAATGGTGACTCATTTAGGCTTTTTATCAAATAATTGTGAATCACTGTTCCTGAAAGTTAACTTTATGAAGGTGTGTTAAAGTCTGAAAGTGATGGTCTGGAACTCTAAATTAATTGTATTAAATTGACCTCCTGGCCTTAAATGTTGATACAAAATAAATCATTTTATGAATATCACGGGTAAGTCCCGCCTTCCCTTCTCTTAGCTATAGTTCAAAATCCACGATGCCGTCCACTTTAACCAATCAAGTGATGCCAAGGGCTGTCAGTCATCGCCGCTCGTGCTCGTAGCTGCTCATGCTCAGGTGTTTGTTTTCACGGAGCCTCTGAATCAAGCCTCCAGTAGGCTCTGGAACTAAATGAAAACTGGATAAAGAATTCTGAACATTCGCGCTGATTGATTGAAGACATAGATTGAAGATAATACAAAGCTTGTATTTTTGGCTGCTGTGTTGATTTGTGTAGCACAACAACAAAACATTCAGTGATTATTGAGTCGTGCAGTTTAACAACTCATCATTAAATGGAGTATTGTTTACTATTTTTTGATTGAAATTAATGTATTAATTTCAAATCTGCACAACAAATATTCACAGTGAAAAAATAACAACATAAATAAAATAAATAAATAGAATACATGAACATGGTTTGAAAAGGGATTAGATAAAGTAAATGGTTATATTACCCTTATATTCAAATATAGATCTAACCTTAGATTCCTGGACTTTTTGAAGAATGATCTCATGCTCCTCTTCCCCCATATCAAACACCTGAAAACAGAGACAATATAGAATTTTGTTTCAGCCATTACCTTGGGGCGGAAGCTTATATCAATTATCAAAAACAGACTTAAGACTGTGTGGTTCCCAAACAGCAGGACAGAGGCTGCTCTGAACAGATGTAACACAGCTGAATATTAATAGAGAACTGTGTGACTCCAATATTTAATCCTCACAGTGCAAGGAAAACAAACACAAGCTAATAACAGTGTCACAGCAGAGGCAGCGGAGCATACGTACTTTCAGCAGATAGGCAAACAGCTCCTCGTCACTCTTCACATGTTCTGGAGGTGCTACGCCCACGCGGTTCACCACAGTGTACACCACCTCCTCGTAAAGTAGATCCAGCTGTAAGATGTATACATGCAGGTATAATATGCAGGAAACACCCATTAAGCACAGACTTTTGTGTAGTTGTTTTGATTGAAGATAGTTTTTCATTCATACACAAACTAATATTCAACCTAGGTATTGAATATAAGTGTTCGTATTTAAACAGTATGAATCCATTGTGGCATTCACTATTCTTTCCATGTGTTTGTCATACTCAAAACTAATTTATGGGCAATACTCATAAAAAAATAAACCAAAAAAAAGCAGAACATTTCTCTGAGCTTGATGTTATAGTGGTGAAATTACATCATACCGTTAGAGGACAAAGACAGGCACAGGAGTCATATCTTTTCCCCAGAAGTTCCTGAACTTAGATTGGATGGATCTAAAATACCTGCGGGTCTTTTCTTGACAAGGGATCAAAGCTATAACATGTTTGAAAGCCATATGTCGATTTTACATAATATGTCTCCTTTTTAGTACTTACAAAAGTGCCTACATTTTCAATTTACTGCTGATATTGGCTTCAGTTTGGAAAGAAGAATTGTCAAGACTCAATCTAATGTCTTTAGTTTAGTCCATACATCCAGGCAGCAGCACCTTTAAAGTTCTAATAGTTACAAAAATATTGGCAAGATTTTAAGCTTCATGATCCAAAGTGATAGTTACCACTTATAGCTATACTAAATCAGACCGCAGAACTAAAAACCGCTACACTACTGCTTCACATAGAGCTCAGTTAGTTTTAAATTCAGAGCAGCTGAAACAGGCATTTAGAGGTATGATTGATTTAAAGTAAGTAAGCCATGTTTATTTATATACCGCCTTTCACAGACCAGAGTCACAAAGCGGTTTACAATTGCTTTATTTTTTGGGCAATTGTCTCACACTCCACACAGAGATGGGAGCAGGATCGCCAGTACAGGAGGCACATGCCAGACCTATTGTACATATTTTTAGTGGTAGGGGAAACCGGAGTACCCGGAGGAAACCTATGCAGACACGGGGAGAACATGCAAACTCCACTCAGAAAGGCCCTGGTCCGACCGGGATTCGAACCCAGGACCTTCTTGCTGAGAGGCGAGAGTGCTATCCACTCAGCCACCGTGCCACCGTTTGTAATTTTAGAGGTAAAATGACAGTATGCTTTAGCTGATTGAACAGTGACCCTGGGAGTCGTAATGATGGTTATCAAAGGTTGTCAGAATCACCTCACTCCGGCTGATCCGCTCCTGGATATAGGCCTGGTCCACATGTTCCTGAGGTGGAGGCACCGTGCACAGCCCCCTTTGGCTCTGAACAAAAATCACAAAAAAAACATTACGAACCCTTCCACTCTCAGGTCTGCCGTGGTGACAAACTGGCCTCACGCAAAGTATTGAAGTCAACAATCAATACGCCAAGCTAGCACAAAGAAACTCAACTGCACTCTTATTCTTTGGCATTTAAACCAGTGCCACTCAAACCATAGTAACACTTCAAGTCACAAAAATGCACCAATACAATGCATTTAGTTCAAGAAATGCTTTTCTAGTTTATTCTACACAAAAATATACTGAATAGTTGAAATAATAGGAGCTCAATGTAAAACTGGTGAATCCGCTCCAATCACTTACTACATAATGTGATTCATAATAATAACAGTGGTGTGTCAAATGATTGTAAATTAAAAATATACACAATAAATATACACAATCACTGTGTTGCATACATGATTATTACTATGGGACAGGACTAACATAATGATTAAAAGGGCCTCTACCTGATTTTTCAAAATGTCTCAAAATGTCAATAGTAGAGCTTTCTCATTACTTTCTCACACATTACTCACGTCCTAATTGTTGTTGTTGTAATGAAATGTGGGAATTTTAGATAAACAAAAAGCTTGTACCTGATATTTTACAGTTTTGTTGAAATTTACTAAATTTCCTACATTACATTACAACATCAATTAGGACATGAGCAATATGTGAGAAAGTGAGGAGAAAGATACAATTGACATGTTGAGACATTTTGAAAAATCAGGTAGAGGCCCTTTTAGATCATAATTTTAATCCAATCCTATCCTATTTGTATGGTCACTTTCATACATGCAACACACTGATTTACACTCATGATACTAAATGAATATACGGTTATGAATCCAAGCTTGCATCACCACCAGCTCTGATTTACATGAACACTCCGGCCACAATAGACACGCCAGGCAGAATGGAAAGCCTGAGTTTGCCGCGGACAGCAGCTTGTCACCTTCACAACCCCTCTAGATGCATCACACAGGCAAATATGGCCGATTCTCCCCTCTCTATAATCGTAGCCGCAAGAAGGCCGTGGAGCCGAGGAGCAGACGGGCGAATAGTGAAAGTTCGTTTGAAGGGTTACCTCGGCCTGGGTGGCACGCAGCATGTTCTCCTGCTTCTGCGTGATTCCATTGACGCGTTCAAAGAATTCTCCGCTCTCCTCTGAAACCCTGCCAGAGAGGAAAAGGCAGATAAAACCGGTCTGGAAATAGCATTTGAGCAAATTGGAAAGAAATCGTGGGGAGATTTTATGAAATATAGGAGGATGGATTGAAAACGCAGTATGGTTTGTAGCTACACAAGAGCCGCATCTGTTCCTCAGGAAATTTGCATGTAAAATTTGAAAAAAATCATGTAAACAAGGAAACTTCTATTGAGACCCTTCGGTTCTCTCTCTCTCTCGTTAAAACAATTGTACTCAGATCTACAGATATGGTTCTCTCACCATGAATAAGCTTGTGTTGTTTTATTATTTTAAAATTTAGACACAAAAAACACTCTTCAATATGATTATTTTTCAGAATAAATTACTTTATGAGCAACAATATTTCTAGAGAGGCTGAACATGAATTGCTTAAAGTAAATGATAGTTGGCATACTATATGTGTACGTTTAATTATAATTATAGCTCCAAAGATGTATTGTTAATTTCTCTGGAACATGTCTTTGCTAACGTGCACCGTTCGTTTGTAAAAATCTGCAAGCAAGAAACAAGACCGGTGGCAGCTGTGAGTAAAAAGTGTATCAAGATCAACATGTCCGCTCAGAATTACCAGTGCATAAAAGAGACAGAAGATGAGGGATTCAAGTCCATCAGCTGCATAAACAATATCTAATTGACTGTGCGTGTCCAAGTGCTGATTAGCAGGTGTATGCAGAATGGGGGCTCGCTCTCGTCTCAGGTGTGTGAATCCCTGGCCTCCCGTTGACTATGGTTGTCATGGAGACAGCAGAGGGACTAACGGGATGATACCTCGGGAAACCCCCACCAACCACCCCCCCCCCCCCCCCCTCCCCCCCCCCCCTCCCCGTCTATCAAAAACACTGCACATACCTCTATTGCTGCTAATGAAGGGATAACCAGCTTGGCTTGATTTGCCTTTTAAAACCTTTGCAGGCCCAAATATGGAGGATAACAAAATATCATTGTCAATGCATGATTAAAGCTGGGATACCTGACTTTCAAACCACAAAAAATGCAATAGCTTCCATATATATTCTAGTATTATTGGCTTGTCATATATTTAGATCATCTTTTTCAGATGATAAAGAAAAGACCAACCTTAATCAGCCAATCAACTCTCAGCTCAAAGCAACAAATAGTGACTAAGAAATGTATGTCACAAATACATTACATATTTCAAAGATATGTATTGTTGACGTTGATGCAATGTTACTTCAGGTTAAACACATAATGCCAGAAGATTTTGATGGAATACATGAAAAATAGTAAGCACAAAATACACAGCCTCTTGCCACAGAACATAAATAATATATGTTATGTTATGTTTAAAAGTTTTAAAAACTTTAAAGATAATGTTGGTCTCACTCTCACAGTGAAAGAACACCAACCCCTGCCCTACATTTAAGATCTTTGGTGTCATCCCATTGCATAACAGGAACGCAACTTGTTACAAAAAATTGCAAATAATCTTCTCCAACCAATTCAATAAAGGGTGGCAAGGAGCAGCCTTCAAATAGCAGCATTACGTAACACAGCCCCAGTTCTCATTTTTACAGACGCCCCCTTCAGCAGCCTCTCTTGCTCTCTGTGGGGTATCTCTGGCAGACTTTATGCAAACGAACGGTCAGGCCCATAGCTGAACCTCCGGGATCTGCCAAGCTGTCTATCTCCCTCCCTCTGCTTGCCCCGCTGCGCCTTCGCTCCCATCACATTATGCAAAAGACGGCCTACTCTGGAGACCCCTTACAGTAATGTGGGAGAGGTAAGCACACAGGCTCTGCAGGAGGTTGTAAGGTCACCCTTTGTGGTATAGACCAAAACTAATGGTGGTTCTGGCAACGCTGGATCCAATTGCATGCAGAAACTGCATTAACAGTCCATCTCTGCAACAAGCGAAAACAGGAATTAAATTTGGTCTATGTTAGATTATTCCAGAAATGAATTTCATGCATGATATTCCTCCAATCACGATCAGGAATTTCCAATAAAAGGAAGCAGAATCTGCACGGTTACTGTTGCTATGCTTAGGCTTCTCTGAGCCTTTCAGGTGACCAAAGCACAAAGCACCCAACCACACCGAAAGTAAGTAAAAAGAAAAACAAAGTGAGCTTTGTAAGCATGCACAATCTCTACTCTCTATTTGGAGGAGTTGGAAAAATAGTATTCTGAGATGGTGAGAAGTGTGGACTCTGTGGGAGCTGTGCTGGAGAGAAGGATGAGGGCTTTAATGCAGGGCATCCTGGGTAACTCCAGACGCCCTCTGCATGACACTATGGCCGCTCAGAGGAGTAATCATAGCAACAGGCTTATATCACTGCGCTGCCGAACGGAAAGTTTTAAGAGATCCTTTGTTCCTTTGGCTGTCAGACAACAGGGCTGTATGAGTTTTCTGCTGCTGGACACCTGCATTTCTCCTTCGGGGATCAATATAGAACTATCTAACAATCTATCTATCTATCTAATAGAAAGAACATTGATTTCTGGAAGGAGGGAGGTCTTAGCACCTCCCAAGCTCCCATCTACAATAAGATAATGCCCAGGAACGAGGTTGGTCCTTTATCAGTTAAGCCAACATCCTGATCTCTGGGATGACTGGAGCTATCAATATGAAATGTGATATGACCTTGATGCTCTGCTCTCTGCACCTGAAGCAATGGTTCATAGAAAAGATATCTATATACATGTATGTTTACAAATGCTTTTGTATTGTTGTGCTAGAGGGACTGTGCTGTTCTAACAACAGTGGTGGAGGAGTATTGTCCCTGTGCTTCTTTCATGTGTCAGAACAGAGTAGTGTAATAACTTAGCTGTGATTTGAAGGGAAACAAGAGCTATTATCAGCCATTGGGCATTGGTAGATTTTGAATGCCAAAGTATTGAGATTGATATTGGACATAAAATCTGTGGACTGCTGCATCCCTGAATACAACTTTATTTATTCTGAAGCTGTTTACATTCAACATGTATTATCAAATCATGGCTGAAATTATGGTGAGCCTCCCACCCTCACAGCAACAAGTTCCTCAATCGTGCCCCAGCTCCAGAGATCACAGTCACTAATCGCATCCTTTTCTCTGCTCCTGACAACAGTGGAGCTGGAAAGTACGACAGGCCGAAAACTATTGTAAAGACATCAGAAGTTACTGTATATAAACATCTCTGTGCATGAACAGATGCTGCTCAGTTCTACTGCCGGACACACGGCCCGACTTCTTTCATTCGCTCAGGCTTGTTTACAGCTTCTCTTTGAGTTCAGATGTATGCGGAGTAAACTGGTGCCGCATGTGTCGCTCATTTGGCTCTGTCTGTGCAGCTGTATACATTGAGGCTTCTACAGTAAAGCTGTCCATGCACATCTAAAACACACTGTGGAGTAAGAACTGCAAACAACATCGACTCCTATAGTTTAGAAATGTAAATGCTGCTGTATGGACGTAATAGGAGCAACAGAGAAAAAACAGCGAATTACCAATGAGAAGTCCAGCATATACGGTATACCTTCTTTAGACACGATAACTTCTGTCTGCGATACACTGTATAATAAGGCTATGGCCCCTGTAGCTCCATACCATATTTAGTGCATTAATATTGAGCTTAAATTATGTATTGAAAACATTAAAACTGTGAAAGTTGTCATATCAAAAGTTTCATCACTGATCAAGGGAGCAAACAGCGAGTATTTCCCTTTGAGAAAAATTACAACACTGGTTTCAACAACTTCGAGTGTGTAAATAGGAAAACCGCAATAATAATAAGCCAAAAGCTGTGAAAAGTTGATTTGAATATTTTGCATTCTCTGACCGGAGTCATTCTTGAGTCAAATGAAAGCACAGCTCAGCAGGTGATCCATTCTAAAGTCTTATTGAAGGCCTGGCCGGTCTCATGGAAAGGACTTAACTTAACTTTTACCTGAACAGACAATTTCATGTCTTCAAGAAATGTTCATATTTAATTATTTTTCAATAGATATATTTTCCCATTTAATTTGACATCATTTACATTTCTTCAAGTTGAATTGTGTTTTGATATAAGATAAAAGATATTTTTTGTCATCCTTTCTGCCAAAGTTATTATGTGGAACAGACAAAATGTGGAGTAAATAAAAAAACAGACGGAAGAAAAATGTAGGGAGTAAACAGCCGGGGGGCTTTACACAAAGTGTCTTGGATTCAGGAGCTCATGTAAACATTCCCTAAAGGGTTGAATTAAAAGTACTGCTAAATATGTCACTAAAGGTAGTTATTTAATTGAATGGGACGGTGTGTAAAACTCCTGCTGTAAATATATAGCTCAAGGCTAGTTTTTATCCATAGTCATTTACTGTAGTATAGTAGTACATATTATCAAGGCATCTCTTTTTTGGCCAAAGTAAATAAAAAAAAACATACTATACACAGTACATTGGTGACACACTGAACATAGCAACATAGTAACAAAAAAAAGTGTTGTGCTTAATGATTAAAAACTGAGAAGATCAATCACACAATAGAGGATAATTATTGATTCCAACATGCAAAGTTGTGAGAATACTATCTGAGAGCACCAGCTTTTCTGACAAAGCTTTTTTGGCTTTTCTTTCATTGCGTGACTCACAAGTTAGAATTAGACCAATAAGCTCCCGTTTGATTGAAAGAACTTCATACATCTCAGTTTCTTGCCACTTTTTCCACTCGTCTTGTGTTTTCTCACAACGTGGCCTCTTCTGTCACACAAACAGCTTGCGGATTTGTACAGACAGCCTTTTGTTTGGGGCTTTGGGGAACGGTGTGTTCATGAGCACACAAAAAAGTCCGACCTAATACAACTCGCAGTGGTCCAACATCTCCATCTATGCACCTTTGTATTTTCCGGCTCTCGGAACACTCACGCCACTGTAATAATGCTCTGATTTGATGTTGCTAAGGAACGAGTCTATTTTTTACCTGAAAGTTATTTGGTGAAATGTGTTTGAATGCAGCAATTAGGCTTTCATTTCCTTCACCACTG